CTTCTTCGGATGCATCCGAAGAAGTGAGGTTTTAACTCACGAAAGCTTATGCCCAAATAAATCTGTTAGTCTTTAAGGTGCCACCAGACTCCTTGACTTCAGCTACGTTATTCACATAGCTGAAGTTGCATAACTTAAATCGATTCTCCCCTCCCACCCCCAGTGTAGACCAGGGCTAAGTGTAGACAAGCCCTTAGCCTCATTAGTGATGTTGGCACAGTTCAACAAATGAAGCTGGACTTGGGCTGCTAGCTGCTTCTAGCAGCAAATCCATATGCATTTGTGCAATGCAAATGCAGTGGCTATTGGTGGCAGATCAGTGGATTTAAAAGATTATTTAGAATCTGGAGGACAAATCATTGCAAATATACCCATCAAGGTGCTGTAGGAAAAATTTTGTACTTAAACTACTTGACAGTATCCCCTGAGAGCATTTTTTTGAAAGACATCCTAGAGTGGGAAGAAACCTGGATATTTAGTTTAGTCCTGAGCTTGTTTCTGAACAGCATACTCAAGCTGCTGCTAAATCTGGTTGCTATCAATTGGGAAACATAGCTGGGATCAGATCATGCCTTTTGAAGACTGATTTAGGGAAGCTTATCCATGTTTTATTACATCTTGGGTAGCTTATTGTAATGTTCTTGCAGCAGGGCTAACCTCTAAGCTGATTTGTAGGCTTTAGTTGGCTCAATTCTGAATTGCTTCAAGGATAAGTTTAAAAACTGATTTGGGTGTGTGGTGGGGGGGGGGGGGGAGGGGTTGGGAGGTTACCTTCAAGAGAGGTCTGATCAGAATGTGGAATTAACAGTGAGACCAAACTCACTCCTCAGATAAGCAGGTCTGAATTGAGCCCCAGGAGAGGTGAGTGGAGCAGATAGTGTGACAAATTTAGTGTCCTATATTACTAGCCCTAAGAGGCAAGTGGACAGGACTAGGTGGACCTAAGTTTCTGCCCACGTTTACAAGTACGTATCAGCTGTTAGGCTGAAAATGCAAGCGAAACCGGAATTCACAATTTTGATGATTTTTTTTTTAACTGAAATCAGGATTTTAAAATTGCACTGCTAGCCATAAAGCATTACATTAATGGCGTTCATCTAATCCTGATACAGGACTACACATTGTTGTAGGTGATAGTACAAGAGAACATCCTGTTCCAGGGCTTTGGTATGATGTGTGTCCATAGATCTGATGCACAAATACAATGCAGCTTTAGACCAGCTTATTTTCCATTGCAGTTAATTTTGTTTATTAATCTTTAACTGTGTTGCTGCTCTCAAATTATGACAGCGTATGAATCATAACCCTCAATGAGCCAAATTATATTTCAGTGTTTTGACACCTGAAAGTCCTGGTTCCATGCCATCTGCAGAATGTGGAAATCTGACACTTCTTTCAAAAACCTTGTCTAAATGTCACTCAGAGTTATTGCACCAACTAGTGGAAAATATCAAAACTGCTGAAGCAGAGATACTGACCTGAAGAAAACCTTGATGTAAACTCAAAACTTGTCTCTCTCACCAACAGAAGTTGGTCCAGTAAAAGATATTACACTTCACCTACCTTGTCTCTCTAATATCCTGGGACAGACATGGTTACAGCAACACTGCGTATGTCTAATCTCTATCATTGTCTCTTTCTGAAACGGTTGTGAAATAGAAGGAGGCATTTTCTGTCTATTTTGGATTCTGCTATTACTAACCATTCAAGCTTAGTTTATTATAGAACATATGTGACAAATTTTCCTTGTATCTCTTTGTTGCAGGTCTAACTTAACAATAACTTTAAAGTCTGAGTCTTCTTTGTGAAAGATGCTTTGGCTTCATCCTGCAGTCATTAAGCTGGCAAGGACTCTGTCATGGGATACACTCACTGCTAGGATGGTGCCTCCTCCTGGCTACTCTGGGGATTGGCTCCCTCCAGCTCTGATGCCCTCTTCCATCATCCCACCCTCACAACAGCCCCACTTGCTCTATGGGATTCTATGCAACTTCTGTTTGTAACACAGCCCTCCAACCACCTCACTATAGGGTCCTCCCCTAAAGTCTCTCCCGACCAACTGTCCGGCTGCCTTTCCAGGCCATCCTCTAATCTAAGACTATGCCACTATCCCAGTGGGTGATAGGGGAACCCAGGCCCACCCACTACTCCAGGTTCCAGCACAGCAATCCTCTGTCTCATGGTCTGCTTATGCTAAGATCCCATTGCTATTTCCCTCTGCTCTTTCCTACTTCCCTTCTCTTTCTCGGTGTTCTCTGGGGTTCAATTCAAGTGCCTAATTCTCAGGGAAAGACTGTCACCTACAGCCCACTTCTGTTCTCAGCTTGCTGGCTTTGTACAGGCCCGCCTATACCTGCTCAGCTGAGCTTCATCTTCTGTTAGGGCTTGCCTGTCCAGTCTAATCCTTCCCCAAGTGCAGCCTGGTATGTTAATTAGCCCCTTCCTAGCAACCTTAACCCATTCAGGTGAGGTGTGGCATGAAAACTCCATCACAGACCCCATAACACCTATGAGTCTCTCTGGCCTGAGTATGGATTGTAGATTTGGGCCTGTAATAAATTAGTTGTGTTTCTGTAGTAGTATTGTATAGCGTCCTCCAGAATATGTAACATGCCTTGTCTTCGTAGGACGGTGCTAGAGGAGATGTGCCACCGTGCATATACCCAAGAAAGCTGAGATAAGCACATGTCCAGTACTTTAAAAATATAGAATGGATTTTGTGAAAGAACAAGCTAAAGTCAGATGTACAGCAAGCAAGTACTGTGCAAGTTTCCCCACCCGTTGGTCATTTCTCGTGATCATTATCCAGCGCATCCTGAAGTTGGGGGAAAGACTCCTATTGGCTTCGCTGAGAGTTGGTGTAGGCTCATAAACAGTAAATAAAAAGCTATTAGGTCATTTCTTCCACCTCATTGCCAATGCTGGATTGTTCTCCAGTGGGTTTTTTCCTCCCCTTCTGCTTTGTCCTGTCTGTTATCTCATTTCAGTAGTAACCCTGGGCTTCCTTTGAAGAGCAGCTTCTGTACTAAACCTATATAATAGTTTTGTGATGTAGACAAAGCACCAACCATTTCACTGACTTGAACCCAAGATTTTAGTGGTAAAAATGCACAGCTCTGCATCAGTGTGCTGCCTGGCATGTCTTCTGCTTTAGAACTAGACAGGACAAATTCATTGGAAAATGAATAATCCTGCAGTGCCTCTTGAGTGGGAAAGGGACTGAATGACCTAAATGATTTTTTTTTCTAGTCTAATTGCTGAGATTCCTCATTCTCAGCAGTGGTGGTTTTCACTCTGAATTCCCTTTGATATTTGGGGTTAATTCCTTAACCTGACCTGTGTCATGCTTTGTCCTCTAGGCCAGTTCGCCTGCTGTGGCAATAGTGTATTGAGCTAAGATTCCATTGAGAGCAAAGTAGCACTGTGACTTAAAATGGGCAACCCTAGTCGTGCACCCTGCCATGCATGGCCTATAAATACCGTGGGGCAGCTCCTCAGCTGGTGCAAATTGCACTAGCTCTTTTGCAGTCAGTGAAGCCATGAGAATTTATATCCTCTGAAGATCTACCCCCATATATCTTAGCAGCATCCATGATGTTTGCAAGCTGATGAGTGTGTGACCTTAAGTGTTAATGAAGCGTGTTTAGGAGAATGATTTGTTAATTCAGAATGCATGGATGAATGGTTTGACTTTACTCTGAAGGTAAATGTTCTTTAATTCTCTGTTTTGTAGTAGTGTGGACTTTGTGCAGGAGACATCCCTGAAAATGGAAAACAACACAACCACAGAGATTCTGAAATCTACCAGACCATCCATCCTTAAAGAAGAGGTATAAAGCATTTATTTTTGTCATGTTTATATTTTTTATTAACTAATTTTAACATTTATTTAAGGCTGCTATTGAATGTTGGAAAATATTACATCTGTGCAGAGTGAGAGAACCTTACGCTATGTAGCGTGGTAGATGTATGAAGATAGGGCTTTTGTCCTGAAGTCATTACAGTCGAAGTAGGTGACATGCAGATGAAAGATGAGGAACTTTCACCTTAAAACAATCATAGAAATTACACAAAGGTTATCTAGTGCATCTCCCCTCTCCCTCAGACCCGCCCTCCCCAGACACAGTTGTTCCCGACAATACTTCCTAGGCTGTTCAGGGTAGTTTTGAATGTCTGAAATAATGGGACTTTCACCACTTCCCTGGAGAGATCATTCCACTGTAACTGAATTCACTGCTTTCTGATATTCAGCCTACATTTTCCTTTCCTTAAAGATGACCTGCAAAGGATTTTTAAAAATTGTGTGTGCGCCCTTTTTTTTGCTGCTTTATGGTATATAAAGGGCACCTGAAACGTTTTTGTTTTTTAGTTTTTTTTTCAACAGTTTGTTCTTGTTCCTATCTTAGCAGTATTGGAAATATCAGATCTAGTCCTCTCTGGTTATAGTGGTGGTGTCCAGGGAGTATTGTGGACGTTTACTCTGAGCTTGTGCACCTTAACTGAAGCTGCAGGAGTATTGAGTCTTTAAACAGTGAAATCCTTTCTCTAAAGTGTTTGTTAGCCTTTGGAGTTAAATGGTTGTTTAAAAAAGGACTTTTAAACTGTTGTATTAAAAATCTCTTCCCCTTTCAGTTGGTCAGCTTTCATTCTCTTGATGCTTTTGGTGTCATAATTTCATTAGATCTCCAGTCACTATAGTTTTCCATGGCAGAAAAGACCCAAATTTCTTACGTAAATAAGCAAGTAGGAAAACTTGAACATTTCAGAGGTTTTAATTTTTCAATGAAGCAAAACTGGGCACAAGTCTTTTCAGGCTACTTTAATTTCAGCCTATTACTCCTCAATCCCTTTTGCTATTCTAAATGATTCTTCTTCTGCTTTGTCTTTTGCACCTTCCAAATAGTGGTAGCAGGTTGTAGCCAGCTCTAGTATATTTCAGGTCATTTGTGTTTCCCTGTGCCATGCTGGTTTTCACCAGACTTCTTGTGGCATTGTTTGAGAATAGAAGTCACAGCCCCTCTGCCCACGACCTTTTACTAAAGCAATTGTGTATTTCTGATTCTGAGTCACCTAACATTGGAGTAGAGTTTCTCTCTAAGGCACCTGCTGGTTGTGCCCTCTAACTGTTTCTGCAGTCAGGTTATGTTGGAGAGGAGCAGATTTTATTGGCACATAACCGCAATAGAGAGATGTCACAAATAGAAGGTGATTCAAACTGAACATGCTTAGCTCAACGTTATGTGAAGCGTCGTTAGCTAAGGTCTAAGCAAAGGATTTGTCTCTCACAGCATAAAGCTTTCTCTCTCTCTCAGCTGGCACAGAGTTTGACCATGCATCCAACCAGGCATGTGACAGCAAAGATTCTTTTTTCTTTCTAGGTAACACTGAGGGCTTTGTAGTTCTCCAGTAGCATGTAATTCACCTGGGCTTTGGGGTGGATTCTGGAGCATTTAAATAACAACCACTCACAGGAGGTGCTGGATGACCTATACCCTGTTAACTATTACACTGGATTGCCTCTTAATTGCAGCTTTTGGCCTCTGTTGGTATACCAGACATTCTTATGACAGGTATCCTGTTTTACTACATACATGGCATCCCCTTTTGCCGCCTCCTTTCTCAGGTTTGGATGTGGTCCAATTCCTGGTAAATTTAGTCATTTCTTCCTCCCTCACGCTTTCTTGGAGCTGACTGATATGGTTCTGACTTCCGCCATTCTCCCCTTTGCTATTTAACAATCCCGAGATAGATACTGGGGTAATGATTTGCCGGGTTTGCTGCCTATGCAACATTGTTGGGCCACAATCAGTAATCCAGGCCTTTGTATCGTCTGCAAAGTTTAAAAATAATTGTTCAATCCCCATTAACTCAAAGACGCAGAAATCTTGTTTTAATTTAAATATATAATTCCCTTGGTTTGGGCTGCAACTGCAACATGATTTTCATCTCTTCCTATTTTGGGTCTCATGCAGTTTATTCCCTGTATGCCTTAGGAGTTAATTCAAAGCAATAAAATATACCTGGGTGCTTGCAATCCAGTCTTATATAAGTCTGAATGCTTCCTACATGTTACACCTTGGCAAAGGAATTAGAAACTTCACCTTCTCCATTCCTGCTACACTGTTGTGACCACAGATCATCCAAAAGCCCTTGGAAAGTATTTCTGTCTTCCTGTAATTCAAGGATAACTTAGGACAACCTTGCAAAATAACCATGTAAATTTCCAGGCACAAAATCTACTTGGCCACCTTTACCATAGCGATGGAAAAGCGGTTGACATTTTGTTTGCCCCTCAAAATAACTGACTTGTCCCAGGCAAGTAGACAAGTAGAATGCTGTAAGATGGACTTAGAATTGGTTTTAGGGATGAAGTGAGATGATCCGTTTCCATAGTCAGTTACTGAATTCTTAGATTACTGGTGGCTCAGTCTCTGTCTCTTCATTCTGTGCTTGTTTTTCTCTCTTCACATGCTCTAGATGTTGCTGTTCTTTTTTGGGCTGTGTTCTTTTTCTCTTTCTAGCAGGAGTTTCTCCAATTTCATGACCTTTGTGGCCAGATGTCCCATATACTCCCAGGCCTGGTCTACACTACAGAAATTTGATGTATTAGCCACCTGAGACTACACTGCATCACCCTGCTGATGTAACCTATCCCCAAGCCTCCTAGTCTCCTAGTCCTGTGCAGGATGTTAGAAACAAGTCTTCTGTCTGCACTCCCAGCAGCCATTTAATTAGCAAAGACTACTCCACCCTTACAGTGCAAGCCATAATAAATGAGAGAAACAGCAAAACTAATATCTAGTTCCACCTCTCCTCAAGGGATCACAGACGAATGGGCAAAACACTAGGTGGAGGGAAGTTAAGAATACCTCTGCTCAGCCAAAAAGCCCACAGGCATCTGGGTGGCCATGGAGTTGATAGTAATGATAATGCATAGAGCTTTCCATTGGTAGAGCTCCAAAGACCTTCAAATCAGGTAAGAATCACTATCCCTATGTTACAGATGGGGAGAATGGTGACAGTCCCAAAGTGAGTCAGTGGCAGAGTTGGGAATAGAACCAATTCTCCTGACTCCCAGATAACCGGGCTGTCACAACCCCCATCATGGCTAAAGCCCATATAGGCAAATTCTCCATACCCCTTTTTCACACAGCTGAAACCAGCCCCCTGCTAGGGGCAAGGCATTGCCTTCCTGTTTTATTTTAAAGATTAAGGCTGAGACTTTCAAAGCAGCCCAAAGGAGTTGGGCACCCAAATCCCACCAAATTTCATTGAAACTCCTTTGAAAATCCCAGCCTACCTGTACATACATCACATGAGTTATTTTCAATTCCTATTTCAAGAACTCCTCAGTGCATGCATTTACACGCTAGTATTACAGCTTCCCACACACACTGGATTTGCAGCTTGTCTTTCCAAAACAACAACAAAATTGCCCAGCAAATTTCCATGGGGACAATGCCCCAACTTGTTTAATTTATTATTCTTTGTTAGGCAATCGCAGAAAGAAAATGGGTGAAGCTTGAACAGACGACCTATGTTGATCCCTCAGGTAAAACCAGGTAATTTCCTTGCTGAGACATTGTAAAATTCTTGTAGTTCTTCCCAGTTTCTCTGTCTGAACCAGCCAAAGGCTATGGAATGTGAGCACCTATAAACCAATTACTTGACATACTGGGCTAGATTACCCCTTTGACATTAATGCAGTTATTCTGAGGAAGAATTTGACCTTTTTTGTTGTTGGAATATGTGTTAGCAGATATACTTTGTCCTGTAGCTTAATACCTTGGATTTGGTCCATGTGTTTATCTTGCGGTTCCAGTCATTTGCAAAGATGCTGTGCAGACCTAATGCTGCAAGGTTTTAACATGCAAACGGATGATTATCAAGAGCTCCCTTTGGTTTTTCTGGTCCTTCCCAAAGAACTCCCTTTCCCCTGTTGATGGCATGATGTCTGAGACTGTGCAGGGTCTTGCATACTGTTGGGATGCTATTGTTTGGAGTAGGGGTGGTCTTGCCTGTTTCTTACCCTCTCATTCATATTCTCGGGCCTGTCTAATTCTCTTCATGTCTCAGATAAATCTATCTTTTTAATCAGTCATGATGACTGGAAATGACAGTGCTACCTTATTTTCCTTCTTCCTAGAGCATTGGGGTCCTTTCTGATTGCTCTCTCTAAAGTCTCCTTCCCCTGTAAGAGTAGCCTCAAGAAGTGGCAGTGATTGAGGCCTGTGTGAAAGGTTTATTTTTTGTGTCAGTCCCATCACTTACTTTTGATTTGCAAGAGAGGCTGTGTCATTTTTTGACTTCCAGTTACTAACAGGAATGGATAACTGAGCTAGGAGCTTTCAGAGTAACCTGCTTTTATTTTCACGTAATGATTGTTATGCATGAGGCAGACGGAATGTAAGTATTTGCTTATTGCTTTTTCCAGGCAAAATTAGTCAGTCTATAAAACCTGTCCCTTCTATTTTATGTTGCAGCTCTTCAAAATAACTATTCTAAATACATTGACCTGCTGACTTAATTTCACCTCTGTGCTTCAGTTTCCCCATCTGTAAAATGGGGATAATGACACTTGTCTTCCTTTGTAAAGTGCTTTGAGATCCATGGATGCAAAATGCTATATAAGAACTAAATATTATTAGGGCTGTCAATCGCAGTTAACTCATGTGATTAACTCAAAAAATCACGATTAATTGTAGTTTTAATTGCACTGTTAAATGATAGAATACCAATTGAAATTTATTAAATATTTTTGGATGTTTTTCTACATTTTCAAATATACTGATTTCAATTACAACACTGAATACAAAGTGTATAGTGCTCACTTTATATTTATTTTTATTACAAATATTTGCACCTTAAAAATTAAACAAAAGAAATAGTATTTTTCAATTCACCTCATTCAAGTACTGTAGTGCAAACTCTATCGTGAAAGTGCAACTTACAAATGTAGGATTTTTGTTGTTGTTACATAACTGCACTAAATAATAAAACAGTGTAAAACTTTAGAGCTTACAAGTCCACTCAGTCCTACTTTTTGTTCAGCCGGTCGCTAAGACAAACAAGTTTCTTTACATTTACGGGAGATAATGCTGCCCGATTCTTATTTACAATGTCACCTGAAAGTGAGAATAGGTATTTGCATGGCACTTTTGTAGCCGGCATTGCAAGGTATTTGTGCCAGATATACTAAACATTCGTATGCCCCTTTATTCTTCGGCCACAATTCTAGAGGACATGCTTCCATGCTGATGACGCTCGTTAAAAAACTTATACATTAATTAAATTTGTGACTCAACTCCTTGGGGGGAATTGTATGTCTCCTGTTCTGTTTTACCTGCATTCTGCCATATATTTCATGTTATAGCAGTCTTGGATGGTGACCCAGCACATGATGTTCGTTTTAAGAACACTTTCACTGCAGATTTGATAAAACGCAAAGAAGGAACCCATGTGAGATTTCTAAAGATAGTTACAGTACGCAACCCAAGGTTTAAAACTCTGAAGTGCCTTCCAAAATCTGAGAGGGATGAAGTGTGAAGCATGCTTTTAGAAGTCTTAAAAGAGCAACATTCCAATTAGGAAACTACAAAACCCAAACAAGAAAACAACCTTCTGCTAGTGGCATCTGACTCAGATGATGAAAATGAACATGCGTCGATCCGCACTGCTTTGGATCATTATCGAGCAGAACCCATTATTAGCATGGACACAGGACCTCTGGAATGGTGGTTGAAGCATGAAGGGACATACGAATCTTTAGTACATCTAGCATGTAAATATCTTGTGATGGCAGTTATGACGGTGCCATGCAAATGCCTGTTCTCATTTTCAGGTGACATTGTAAATAAGAAGCGGGCAGCATTATCTCCTGCAAATGTAAACAAACTTGTTTGTCTGAATGATTGGCTGAATAAGAAGTGGGACACAGTGGACTTGTAGGCTCTAAAGTTTTACATTGTTTTATTTTTGAATGTAGTTATATTTTGTACATAATTCTGCATTTGTAAGTTCAATTTCATGATAGAGACTGCACTACAGTACTTGTATTTTTCAATTCACCTAATGCTATTTCTTATGTTTTTTACAGTGCAAATATTTGTAATCAAAAATAAAGTGAGCATTGTATTTTGTTGTAATTGAAATCAATATATTTGAAAATGTAGAAAACATCCAAAAATATTTAAATAAATGGTATTCTATTATTAACAGCGTGATTAATCATGCGATGAATCAAGATTACTTTTTTTTTATTGTCCTAAGCAACCACCAAAAATCATTTGCTAGCAAGACTCTCTCTCTAACTAAAGGTGAAACAAAATTGAGACTGAGACCTTACGGATACTTTACAGTAATCACTTAGTATAGTGGCTTGCCTCTTGGCAGTTGCTAATCAGTACGATTCTCACTGTATGTTTGCATGTTTTGCTTTTGAATGAAGGTAGCAAAGTTCCAAGTTGGCTATTTGTGTGGAAAGCAGGTATATTTAGTACACTTCCTTTTTTAGGATTAACACATCCACTTTCTCTTCTTCTTACCCAACAGAATTTGGGAAACCGTAAAGCGTACTACCAAGAAAGAGGACAGTTCAGCTGATGGTATGGCAACAGTTACATTTTTGTGCATAACTTCTTCTAATATTAATAATGATGAGGTGGTCTGCTTCCATAAATGGCGACAACTGACACAATAAAAAGGTGCAGAGAATAGGAGTAAAATAAAATGAATAGTGTAAATCATGTAGAAGTATGGGCTGGATAAATGGACTATAAAGTGGATAGAAAGCTGGCTAGATCGTCGGGCTCAACAGGTAGTGATCAATGGCTCCATGTCTAGTTGGCAGCCGGTATCAAGCGGAGTGCCCAAGGATCGGTCCTGGGGCCGGTTTTGTTCAATATCTTCATTAATGATCTAGAGGATGGTGTGGACTGCACCCTCAGCAAGTTTGCAGATGACACTAAACTGGGAGGAGTGGTGGATACGCTGGGAGGAGTGGTGGATACGCTGGAGGGTAAGGATAGGATACAGAGGGACCTAGACAAATTAGAGGATTGGGCCAAAAAAAAATCTGATGAGGTTCAACAAGGACAAATGCAGAGTCCTGCACTTAGAATGGAAGAATCCCATGCACTGCTATAGACTAGGGACCAAGTGGCTAGGCAGCAGTTCTGCAGAAAAGGACCTAGGGGTTGCAGTGGACAAGAAGCTGGGTATGAGTCAACAGTGTGCCCTTGTTGCCAAGAAGGCTAAACGCATTTTGGGCTGTATAAGTAGGGGCATTGCCAGCAGATCGAGGGACATGATCATTCGGCATTGGTGCGGCCTCATCTGGAGTACTGTGTCCAGTTTTGGGCCCCACACTACAAGGAGGATGTGGAAAAATTGGAAAGAGTCCAGCAGAGGGCAACGAAAATTATTAGGGGCCTCTGAGGCACATGACTTATGAGGAGAGGCTGAGGGAACTGGGATTATTTAGTCTGCAGAAGAGAAGAATGAGGGGGGATTTGATAGCTGCTTTCAACTACCCAAAAGGGGGTTCCAAAGAGGATGGATCTAGACTGTTCTCTGTGGTACCAGACGACAGAACAAGGAGTAATGGTCTCAAGTTGCAGTGGGGGAGGTTTAGGTTGGATATTAGGAAAATCTTTTTCACTAGGAGGGTGGTGAAGCACTGGAATGGGTTACCTAGGGAGGTGGTGGAATCTCCTTCCTTAGAGGTTTTTAAGGTCAGGCTTGACAAAGCCCTGGCTGGGATGATTTAGTTGGGGTTTGGTCCTGCTTTGAGCAGGGGGTTGGACTAGATGACCTCCTGATATTCTATGTATATAGTGCCATAGGGCATGTATGGTGCTGTACTGTTGATCAAGTGTAGCTTAGGAGTAGAGCCTCTGCCCCAAGGAACTTACAAATCAGTACCCTGATTTTTGTGAGTAATCACATTGATGCCATTGTGATGGCTGGAGTAAGAACTGCTTGCAGGATTAGGCCTTACAGTAAAATATTGCCAGAAAATGGATCCGTGGTCTGGGGAAAATCAGTGTCTGAACAAATATTTGATTTGATCACTTTTCCAATGGGAAGTCAGTTATGGTCCTGGGCAGTCAAAGGATCTGCAGCTTCTGGTTTGGAACCTGTTTGGACAAGGGTGTGGGGGACCAAATTCAAGTGGGAAGACTGTTAAGATTGTAGTAGCAGAGGGAAGACTCTAGGGTACCTGATTGGAGCTGTTGCTTTCAGACCCAGAGTTCCTGATGGCTATTAGGGTTTAAATGGAGTTGAGATCATCCAGCAGAGAGCAATAAATTAGTCATCTTTAGCTCTTTCAGTGCAATTTTATTTTTCAAAGTCAGTGGAAGTTGAGGGTGCTCACAATACATAAATGTAAATGTTTGAACTACTCACATGCTGTGTTTTCGTTGCTCTTTTCTTTATGCTGGCAGGTGTATCAGTTATACCTGTGTTACAAAGAACTCTCCACTATGATTGCATTGTTCTAGTGAAACAATTCAGGCCTCCAATGGGAGGGTATTGCTTGGAATTCCCTGCAGGTAGGTAACAAAAATATGAAGATGAAATACACAGAATGTATGTGTAGTTTACTCTGTCCATCTTGCTGAGGCTTGTAGATTTCAGTGTGTTGTGTCTTTCAGATTCCAAGATCAGTGGTGGTTTCTGTACTAGAATACAGGCTGTTGAGAGAGAGGGATATGTAGTAATGAAAAAAATGTGAAATAGCACCCTGTCAGATTTTATTTGTAGAATCTGTTCAACCCAGTTTTTTTCCCCCCTTTCCCTCCCATCTTCCACTTCCAAAAGAGGGAAAACCCTTTGAGCTTGGCATTGGCATTCTCATTGTGAGAGTTGTAATTCCTTTTGGAGGGAGACAGCATGATTTAGAGGATAGGAGGCAGGAGTCCTGGGTTCTGTTCCTGGATCTGACACTGACCTTCTTGACCTCCCAGTGCCAGTTACCCCATCTGTAAAATAGGGCTGCTGATACTTTACCTTCCATTGTAAAGCTCCCTTAGATCTAAGGATGGACAATGCTGTAAAAGAGCTCAATTTTAACTATTATTTTTAATGTAACGTTTACACCGCAGGCCTCATTGAGGGAAATGAAAGCCCAGAAAGCGCTGCCTTGCGAGAGTTGGAGGAAGAAACGGGGTACAAAGGGGATATCGTTGAATGTTCTCCAGGTCTTTGTTGTTTCTTGACTACCTGACTCAGAGCCAATCCTGCCCCTCTTCATGGTCACAGAATGCCCTAAATTCAATGGATCTACGATGGGTCCGCTGTTCAGGATGGGAAGGGCACAGCGAGGGAGTGTGCACTCCCACAGTACCATATGGCAGTGCCCCAGGACAACACCAAGGAGCCATAGACATAGTCTGTGTGTCTATGACAGATGCGGATCCACTGGATAAAACCCAATACAGAGGGTTATAGAAACAGCTTCACTGTTGCTCTGAGGCATGTGGGGGAATGATTCTGCTCTTAAGGAAGATCCTCATTTACTCATGCTCTGCTCATGGGGCCAAGATTTGGTACTTGGTACAAAAAGTTCAGTAACTTAAAGGTCTGGCGTCTTGTAATTAAAAGGTCTAGATGCCTGGACTTGATTTGACTTCTTCTCCAATAGGTTTAAGTGGCTCTCTTGAACCTACCTACTGAATGAATAGCAGTTGCATCATGCAATCTCTGTGCAAGTCGTCCTCATTTCAGCTGTGCAAAGGAAGGAGAACTCAGGTTCTCAGAGCTGATTAGCAGGAATGGGGAAGAAGGAAGTGCTGCCTGACATCAAAGTCCCCAAATCCTTTGCAGCCAGCATCTGTATTTAAATATTTTGTGCTGCGTGCCACAGAGCAGAGGCAAAACTGGGATTTAAGGAGAACCTTTATAAAGGGGGAAATGCTAGGGAAGAAATGGGAAATCTGGACTATGGATTTGAGCATGTTGCTATTAAGATTGAACTTTGCCCTTCTACTTTTGCACAATTTCCATAGTCTGGAGTGTTGTGTATGTAACTGATGGCAAAACTGGGCTCTTAGTATAGTTTGACTAGGAGCCTGCAGTTTAACCTTTGACGTACAGTGAACGAGGAGAATGGTTGTCACTGCAGTAGAAGCAATCAGTAGGTACTAACACAAATATGAAAAAGAATCTGTGTGTATTTAGAAGAGCAGACCATTGTGGGAAGAAGCACTTGTAAGTAGAGCTGGGTGAATGACTAGTTTTTTGGTTCAATGGCAGTTCTGAGGGGGGTTGGGGGGAAGAATCAGTTCAGACTGAAGCACATCTGAATAGTTTTTGGAATTTTCAGTCAACTGAAAAAAATCATTTTGGGTCTGTCCAGAGCAGGGATTTGAACCTAGGTCTCCTACTTCAAGTGCACGCCTCAACTGGACTAACAGGATGCAGCAGCACAACTATTAGCTCCTTCTCCTCTGGCTGTTTTGTGAATGGCCAAAACTGCGTGTGAATCTCACAAATAGTTTTGGGTTGACCAAAACTGCATTTTGTGGCAAATAAACGTTGTCCAAAACATTTTGCCCAGCTCACCTTGTACGAACAAATAACTAACCCAGACTTTTTGCCTGGTTTTGTGATGCATGCTGGTGAAGCTGCCTGCTGAATAAGTTTTCTCTTATTGCAGCAAAGAGTCCTGTGGCACCTTATAGACCAGGGGTCGGCAACCTTTCAGAAGTGGTGTGCCAGTCTTCGTTTAGTCACTCTAATTTAAGGTTTCGCGTGCCAGTAATACATTTTAACATTTTTAGAAGGTCTCTTTCTATAAGTCTATTTAAATTAAAATGCAGAGCCCCCCAGACCAGTGGCCAGGACCCGGGCAGTGTGAGTGCCACTGAAAATAAGCTCGAGTGCCGCCTTTGGCACGTGTGCCATAGGTTGCCTACCTCTGTTAGAGACTAACAGACGTATTGGAGCATGAGCTTTCGTGGGTGACATGCATCCAACAAAGTGGGTATTCACCCACGAAAGCTCATGCTCCAATACGTCTGTTAGTCTATAAGGTGCCACAGGACTCTTTGTTGCTTTTATAGATCCAGACTAACACGGCTACCCCTCTGATACTTTTCTCTTATTGTATCAAATAGATCTGGGTGAAAGTCATGGTGTTAAAATGTCCAGTAGTTTCATCTCTTTCTCATAATGAACATCCTTTACTTTGTAGCTGTTTGCTTGGACCCTGGTTTGACAAACTGCACAACGCACATTGTGACCGTCACCATTAATGGAGATGATGCTTGTAATACAAGACCCATGCAAAAGCCTGGTGAGTCCAGGACATGTACAATATTTAATTTTTATCTGTCTTATTGGAGGGACCGTCCTCTCTAAATATGCTTGGAAACTGTTGAAGGGCTCAGCAATACAGGATTCTAATAACGTCACTGACATTCGTGGGTGTTAGAGCAGGAGCAGGCACTAAGCTCCAATGTGTGTCCAAACTTAGTTTTCTTTGTGTTAACACTTTTCTTTCTTCTTGTCTTTACAGAGGAAGGAGGTATGTTGCTCACTTAACTTCACTGTGGCTCGGAGCACAGCAAGTATGCTTCAGCTATACCGGATGTCACCCTGCACTCTGCTCTTCTCTGTGGTCAGGAGATATTTTCTTAACATCATTAGGATCACAGTCCTGATGGTGACACACTGTATGGGCTTCACTGACTTCGGCGCTCTTTAGATCAGACTTGAAATTCCCAAACAATTGTACCACAGCCTGGTTTAAGGAGGGGAAATTTCAGTTGAAATGGTCTCCATGACCTATCTAGGATCAGTTCCTCGGCTGGTGTAAATTGGTGTAGCTGTATTGAAGCCTGTGGATCTGGCCCCTAGACTGAAACTCCGCAATTGTAAATCCAAATAGGGGGAACTGCTTGGGTAGTTATAGGCAAATAAGCAATACCTTGCATTCCTCAAGCATGTCTGCCCTTGCGTGGCAGGCAACATGTCAAGAATGAGCCCTCAGTTCTCAGATGTCTGTCATTCTTCCTCCACTCTGTGAAGTTAAACCTTTGTGGTCTCTTACCATACCAAGTATGCAGGCCCAGGTTACATTAACATTTCAACAGTGAAATATCTGATCAGATGGACCAAATAGGGGGGAGGGATAGCTCAGTGGTTTGAGCATTGGCCTGTTAAACCCAGGGTTGTGAGTTCAATCCTTAAGGGGGCCATTTCGGGATCTGGGGCAAAAATCTGTCTGGGGATTGGTCCTGCTTTGAGCAGTGGGTTGGACTAAATGACCTCCTGAGGTCCCTTCCAACTCTGGTATTCTATGAAATCGGGGGAAGGAGAATAGTGTCTGTCCTTGAAGTACAGTGGTTCCTGCCCCTAATATGTCACCATTCTCCAAGCTAGTTCTGTAGTTATTTCCCAAATTACTGCCTCAAAACTGCATTTCAAAGGCGCCTTTGATCTTGCCTGTGTCTTAATCGCTGAGCTTGGCCGTGTGCCTGGGTGATGATGGTCTCTGGCTGAAGGTGAACCTGAATCCAGTTCCTTGTCTGCCTTCCATCTGAGTATAAAAAGATGGGAATGAAATATACTTCTCTCAACATTAATTGAACTCTATATCAGATATGACTTGACAGATTAAAGACAATCCTTGTAAAATACACAAATTATCTATTTAATTTTTTTTGCTAGAATTTGTGGAAGTTGTTTCACTACCAAAGAATGATCTACTGCAGAGAATTGACGGTAAGAGCACTTATTTTCTCTTGCACATTAAGCCAGTTAATAAAAGCTTTGAAAATTTCTTAGCTTCTTCACACTTACTGTAAATCAACTCACTTCTTAGCCCCTGTATTCAAGTTTCTCTGGAGATTTCTCAGTCTGGGAGATTTATAACCATTTTTAAAACCAAAACCATCTACTTTCTTAATTCTGTAATCTGGAAAATTTGCATATAACATGCCATGTATCAGGTGAACCTTCAAAATGAGGTTTGTCTTCCAGAAAGGAATGTTCATTAACACAATCTATCCAGCTGCGGTCTTGTTAGAAGCAATTACCAATGCAATGCCTGTTCCAGATAGCTTCCTACATCAGCGTAGCTACCCATTTCCACCCCGAGGCTTATCCTGTGTGCTTCAAGTCAGTCCATATGCTTTTTTTAATTCATTACTACTAAATTAGTTAGTAATAATGCTCCAGGGGACTAACATGTCACAAGATTTTAAAGGACTAATGTGTTATAAAAGAAATATGGCAAAGCCTCCAAAAATTTTTAAACGTGGCCTGGATTTGTTCTGATACTTCACGCATTCATGCTACTTGTCAGCCTCTGTCTGAAGTCTTCAGAAGTTTGTTTTTAATTTCTTACCCATAGTATGAATATGAACTTGCATCTGCCCCTGTTATGTCTGTCCTGTCCATGCCTTTCTGTTTGGAATTCATTATTATTGGGTGGTTTGGGTGTTTTGCAGAGCTAGTGGCAGAAGACCATATTTTAGTGGATGCCAGAGTTTACGCCTATGCATTGGCACTGAAGCATGCAACACAAAAACCCCTCCAAGTGCCTTTTATGAAGTTCTAAGGCTGCATATGTAACCTCGTTGAATAGTTCCAGGATGGAGTCAAATGGTCAATATAGACTTGGAAGCTGTATGTTTTCTGACAATAAAAGGTCCTGTAGATTACACACAGTATTAAGCAATCATAGTTCCAGGAAAGATTGCTTGAACTACTTGTACTATATAAAGCCTTTCTCTAACTGTTCAATCTCTAACTCTGAATGGAATTTTATCCTTTGCAGAAGAATAAAAAATCATGGCCTGTTAAGAGATCACATCTTTTCCTTGCTCCTTCCTCTTAAAATATTCTTTTATTGTTGAGCACTTCAGTTATGCTGAAACTATACACAGGGGTCACTTAATCCACCATTAAAGTGGAGCTGCTTCCCTGGTATAACACCCTTGGATTAAGGTAAGGGGAGGTAACTTCCCAAACTGACCTACACTAAACCTAGCTGCACAGAATACACCACAAAGCTTGAAGCCTTGGCTTTGCTAAGTATATACACTTTGAAATGGGGTCAGACCAGTGGCATTAACAACATTATGAAAAATGCCCTGTAATCACCTGTCACAAAAAGAAATCAAGCCTTTTGGTTTTTATATCTTCATCAGAGATATCAGCCAAAGTTTTCAAAACTGTCAGTCCCTTAAACGTGTCATGTTGGGTACCCAAAAATCACTAGTCCCTCTTGAAAACTTTGGCTGGTATCTTTGAGGAAGATATAAAAACAAAGGGCTTGATCTCTTCTGGTCACTGGTGATTCCATGGCATTTTTCATAGTAGTAACTGCATTGGATTGACCCCATTCCAAACTACTACTTTGTAAATCCTATGGTTGCTTAGCATGTAAGATTTCATGGGTCTTCAGCCTTAGTGAGGGGGGAAACTATTTAGGTTCTTTTAATATCATGCTTGGTTGAAATTCTTCTGTGCCACCCATATAATGTCTAAGGCTAAATATACACAGTGCTCTACTTCTCATTTCAATGCTATAACAAAAGAGATTTAGTAAATTACCTAAAATAAATGATGGGGGAGGGAGATATTTATATCAGCATTTCTCAGAAGTGCATAAGCAGTCAGTAAGTAACTGAACTTTCATGAGAGTGGCTTCGGTGTGACGAGTTGCACCGCTGTAGCTCTGACGGAGCTTTTAGAGACGTAGCTTTCAAGTTTTCTAGAGGCAGAACGTCAAGCTATAGACTCATGCAATCTTTCTTTCCGAAAGCTCATGGAATTAATACTATAGTGAGTCAAACCCAGTTCAAAGGTAGGATTCAGCTCATGGAATGCTACACCTGATAAACAACTCTTCTCTGCTACTGTTATTCTACTCTTTCGATGTGCTTTTGGGTGTGCTGTATCCTACCATCTTCACAAGAGCAGCATCGGTTGGTTAGCCGGTGAGGGTGAAGGAAAGTAAGTCCAGTTGCAGTTCCAAATTCACATTGAACCTATGCTTGGGTGCCTTCTACTGTAACTGAGTAAACATTTGTTCAGTGGGTGTTACTGCCAAATGTATTTTGTATCAACATCCCACCCATGGACATACATGATGTCACCAAAACAATCTTCAAACATACTAAATGAGAATCTGTACATTCATACGCTTTGGCTATCTTATGATTTAAGTCTATTACTACTATGCAATATGTGCATGGGGGGGAACACTGCAGACATTAAAGGAAACTAAATGGAGGATAGTGATATCAAAACATGTCTAACAACTCTGTTCATACACATTTTTTGTATATTACTGGATGTTTTCGACCCCATGTTCTGTATAAAATAGCACAGGTGCATAGAGGTAGTGTAAAATTCAATTAGTACTTACCCGTTCTACAAAACTGGTTAAAGGGAGTCCCATGAAAAGTGCAGTCTGTTCATCACTCATCCACCCAGTATCATCTGACCATTGGTTAGGAGCTAGGGATAAGCGCATACTTCCAGACCTGAGGTAGTACCTATTTTCAGTTTCTCCAAGAAACTTCTCATCCTTGACTGCCATTTTCCTGTTTGAATCCCCTATTAACTTAGACATTGCCACACAAACCACCTCAACTTCCACAGGCAGCACACTGATTATGAGGTGATGTGCTGGTCAGTGGTTTAAAAAGTCAGCTGGTTAACTTTTAGGAAATTAAATTAACAAAGTTAGGATCCAAGACTTAGTTGTCTACACTTGAAACACTACAGCAGCACTACTAAAACTGCACCAATTTAGTGCTGCTGTGTAGACACTACCTATGCTTAAGGGAAGGATTCTCCCATCAGCATAGATAATCTACCTCCCTGAGAGATAGTAGCTAGGTTGATGGAAGAATTCTTCCATTAACACCACTGGCTACACTGAAAGTTAGGCTGGCTTAACTATGTTGCTTAGGGGTGTGGATTTTTCACACCCCCGAACAACATAGCTGACAACTTTTCAGTGTAGACCAGACCTTAGCTTGTATTTAACACAATGCAACCTACTCTTAACAGATCTTACTTTGAAATACCATCAAGGATAATTAGGTATTTTAAATCTCATTTTAAGTAATTTCGCCATGATGAAATCATTTAAGCAAACAGGTTTTTTTTACAAAAGAAAAAACTCTTATAGATAAGACAAGAACAGAATTTAATTAAATAAGTTTATTGTCTAATGTTTATACTTGTTACATTGCCGTTGTAAACTACGACAACATAAATATTTTTTCAACAGGAATTGCTCATTTCCCCCATCTCCCAATTCCGAACACTGCTTTAGGAAGCAGGCTTCTGTCCTTCAGAATCACAAAAGCAAAGTGGACATGAAGTTTCAGTGGCACAGTTTTCACAAGTACTTGTTAAATACAAAAGGTATAGGCCAATGTGGTGGCATGACTGCACCTACATGCGGGAAGCCCAGGGCTGAGAATGGAAGTGCTCTCTGGGCCTTGCACATACAGCAGAACCAATTCACAGGTGAGATGAGTAGCAATCTCAGGTAAAACGTTTGTCCACCCTCATGGCTAGGAGTTGGGTGCCCAAGTGGAGACAACACAAATGAATAGGTAATGCTGAAGCACAATGATGGGGAAATGCACGTTAAAAAAGTATAAAAAGTAATTTATGCAAAATATAGATTACATACAAATTCGGTCAAGAACTTATTTAATAAGCTCAAGAATATTGGCATGTGGCAATCTGCACTCTGGTATTTTTTTCTGACTAAAAATGGGAAAATCAATTTAAGATCTTAACGCTGTGTGCAAAATGTTTACTAATAATCAAACTCTTACATTTTACCATCTCACTGTAGTGTCTGAACAGCAAAGTAGATGCATTGATTTCCAGCATTACAGGCAACACTAGATCTACTTAAACAAGATAATGTAAACTTTATTCTTAAGGCAGCTGGTACTGATGCTGCACACAGGCATTGCTCAATGCCCATTATGATAATGGGACTTAGCACTTGAAAACAAAGAAAAAGAAGACAGCATTATTGGACTGACTGAGGCATGTTGTCAAGATACTTTCCCTTTCAAGCAAATCATGAAATATTTGGACATTTAGAAAAATAAAGCACCCACTCCTCCAACTTCAGCCTGTTCTTTTACAAATATTTCAAAATACTGATAAATAATGGTGACTGCAAGCAGGATGCCAGTGCCTGATCCAATGGCTCCAAGAAAGTCTGCTAATACTGAGAGGGCACCAATGCACAAGCCACCAAATGCAGCTGCTGTAGGGATGTACCTGAAACAGAAAGTTTTCACAATTAAACTTTTCCGTCCAAAGGTCTTGTTTTGCTTGTGCTATATCACTGTGTGCGACCAACTGAGGGAGCGACAGGAATGAGTGGATTCAGGCATTAGGAACTTCAGAGTTCCATTCCGACTCTGCCAGTGGCTACTATGCTTTGGGTAAGTTGTCACCTATCTGTGTCAGTTTCTCCAACTATACAAAGTTAAACAAAAAATATTTGTCTACTTTACAGCACTGTGGTGAGGACTAGCATTTGTAAAAAAAATAAAATAAAAAAATAAATATATATATATATATTGGAATTGGAAAAGGTTCAGAAAAGGGCAACAAAAATGATTAAGGGTATAGAACGGCTTCCGTATGAGGACAGATTAATAAGACAGACTGTTCAGTTTTGAAGAGAGGCGACTAAGTGGGGATATGATAGAGGTTTATAAAATCATGAGTGGTATAGAGATATTTACTCCTTCTCATAATACAAGAACAAGAGGCCACCAAATGAAATTAATAGGTAGCAGGTTTAAAACAAACAAGAAAGTTTTTTCACGCAACGCACTGTCAACCTCTGAAACTCCTTACCAGAGGGTGTTGTGAAGGCCAGCACTATAACGGGGTTCAAAAGGGAGCTAGATAGATTCATGGAAGATAGGTCCATCAATGGCATCCCTAGCCTCTTTGCCAGAAGCTGGGATTGGGTGACAGGGCATGGATCACTTGATGATAACCTGTCTGTTCATTCCCTTTGGGGCACCTGCCATTGGCCACTGTCAGAGACAGGATACTGGGCTTGATGGACCTCTGGTCTGACCCAGTATGACCATTCTTATGTTCTTAAAGTAGTCTGAACGCATAGCATGCTACGTACGTGCTAAGTAACTGCTGGGAGGCTAAAGAGACCAAAGACTGCTGCTTTTCAGTAGCAAAGCATGCTATTGATTTTGGGGCAAATTCTGCCCTTAGATACAAGTGTAAAGTCCACACCTGAGGGTAAAGTTTTTCTCTAAATTTTAAGGAAACAGTTAATTTGAGTCATTTTAATGTGTGAGCTTCGATAGAGCAAAAACTCACTCATACAGCAAAGAGAGTCACTTTTTAGGGAACAAGAACATTGTTTCTTTTGCACCAGATCTCACTATGAAAGAGGGGGAAGAGGCAAGATTACAATGAGAGTCATCAGCAAGAGGGCACAGTAATTAGCTGCCAATTCCCTCCAATCAAGTACCTGCCAGCAGAAACACCCACAGATTGTGCTGCCGCAGACCCAATCAGAAAAAACAAGGCTGGGGTATAACTAAAAGGTTTACAAAACATACACGAACACTGTATAATGTGATTAACAAAATGCCTTCCACTTCTATTTCCAGCACATTAATGGTCTTTACAACAACAGCAGCACCACTGAGCATTATCCAGCCTTTATCCAATGTAGTTTTCAAATATGCTTCCACACATTTGAGTATTTAATAACTACACAAACCACTGTTAAAGCATGGAAGAGACTAATGATCTTTCCAGTTACTCTGAATGAATGTAGCTTTCAACACCAATACCTTTCTAGAAAACATTCCACAACCCAACTAACTGTAATGCAAGTTGGTTACTTCAATCCATGAGCCCATTCAGACAATGCTGCCAAATCTGCATGATGGAGGGAGCCCCTCACCCCCACATCAGGGACAAGGCATAATGTTTATTGCTTGGGCTCCAGTGCCACATACTGAGGAGGAAGAGCTGCTTCATGATGTCAGAGCTCTGTAGTGATAATCTGAACAGCTGCGAAATCAGGTCGTCTCCCCTTTAATAAAGCCATGCATGGGACTCATCCCAAATTCCCCATTCTCCTGTTTAAACAGGAAGCCTCCCTTGATCTATTTTTTCCCAACTCTTCCATAACACTTTGTCCCTCCTGTTTGCCTGGGCCCTATCCTTCCCCAACTAACATGACAGCATAGTATGGAACACGTGAGGAGAGTGAAAAAGTAAGTTGCATCTGCATCTTGCACTGGGCACAAATCCGAGTGGCTTTGCAGGGGACCCCACCTTTTGTTGACCCAATGTATTAAAGGTGTTAATTACATTCTACTGTAGCGAACTGCTGCAGAGAGCCAGCATTTCCTTACCTATTAAGCTCATGAACCATCGATGTATCCCTGTGGCCTCTCATCACCATTTGCTGTTCTTTCAGTTGCTTAGCAACCTGCAGACACACATTTCTATCAGACTTCTGCAGTGTTTTATAACCAGCTGATAGTCACACAGAACAATAGCTGTCATCTGTTAGAAGCTAGTTATCTAGATTAGAGGCAGGATTTTAAAACACAGTATTTTAGAGCAGTTATCAGACCACTTACATCTTTTGCTGATGAACCAGACACCTCAATCCATGTCTTGGAGAAGAACGCACAGGATCCCAACATAAAAATGATGTAAACAATTACGTGGACAGGATCCTCAAATATAGCACCCATGGATTCTGGGGGAGATAGGTAATAGCAGAGACCACCAACTGGGTAAGAGCGAGCAGGGCCACCACCACTGACATCCTACATGGGAGGAAGAAAAGGCAACTCATTATCTCTGGGACTCTCCACCTTACCCCCTTTATGGAGGTTTCAGATTCCTTTAATTAAGACTGTAGATACATGAACTTTAAAGAAAATTAGTATTTAAACTTCCCACTTGTTAAATACCAAAATACTTGTTATCAAAGTTATTTTAGAAGTGATAGATACTTACTGCCCACTGTCCTAGTAAGTTTACTAAGAAGTTGCCACTAAACCGAACAGACAACATCTGGGAAATGACATAGAGGTTTGAAACTAAGGCAGACTGAAGAATGATGGGAATGTTGGAGGTATAGAAGAGCTTGATGGGATAACTACTGTACTGTCCACGGTATCGAGCAGACTTGATAGGTAAATCAACACGAAATCCCTAAGAGAGAATTAAGGAAGTGTTAAATTTATTTCTAAACTCAAAGGCATGTCACAACAGCACTGTTAATAAGATAGAGTATTCACTAGATAACCTAGAATGCAAGGACTGAAATAAACAGCCTTTGGACTAGCTTGTTTGTTTGTTTTCCCATAATAATGAACAGAACAGTGGTCTGGAATCTTCCTTGGATTGAGCCAAATATTTACACTGTCATGTTTATGCATTTAAGTCATATGACTGTTCTATTTAGTATGCCATTTCTCCTAGAATTTTCATTCACCCAAACAGACTACAGGTTAAAAATCACTTACTAAGAGACAAAAAACGTTCTTAACACCTTAAATTAGTTATCATTTATGCCATTTTGCTTGACTTGGAATGTTAAAAAAAAATGGATGAGTTTCATGTTCTGAATTTCACTTGTTCACACAGTGCTATAATTGTTGTGCTACTTGTAATGAGGGGAATTGGATTATAAATTCTTTGGGTCAGACAGAGATTGTTTGATCAGGAGCTAGTACAATGGGGCTCCGAAACTAGTAATGTCTCTAGGTGCTACTGCAAATATAATGTTTAAGACTGATATAAATAAAACCTTAAGGATATTTAGAATGTCTTATTGCTGGGTTCCATAAAACCTCTTGTACACAACCCTTTCCCAATCTAAACCCAACAGCACCCTTTTAAAATGCACTCATTTTGTATAGGATTTGGGAAAACAAAACAAAACAAAAAACTTACCAGCTTTTAATGCAGAAGCCTAACCAACCTCCGAAGATAGTTGCAAGCAGAGCATTCTGCTGTTTTCTGGTTATAGCTAATCTCCTAGACTGAACAGGCACGCTATTGTTTAGGAGCCAGAGATTTCAGTCCTTACATCTTGGATCACACTTATTCCACATGGGGGCATTCTTTTAAAAGATCTCTCACAGAAACCCAATCATAAGTGTCCAATTTTTAAATATACATAAAAAGGCATATTGCATAGCTGGACATTTAGAGAAAACTTACAGGACAAAAGCTATGCATCAGTTCCAAGATTCTGGAACAAACTGCACCAGTCATGTCACAGAGAAGTATGGCTCTCTGGCTGAGACTGAATCAGGGCCGGCTGCAGGCACTAGCCTACCAAGCATGTGCTTGGGGCGGCACCTGGAGGGGGGTGGCGCTCACCCGGGGAGAGCGGAGCCGCAGCGGGCTCGCCGCCCTCCCCCGGTGCTCCAGCCAGCCGGCCGGCCGGGTAGAGCAGGGCCCCGGCAGGGCTCGCCGCCCTCCTCCCGGCGCTCCGGCCGGCCGGGGAGACCGGGGCCGCGGCCAGGCTCGCCGCCCTCCCCCCGGCACTCCGGCTGGCCGGGGCCGTGGCTGCAGCTGGGCTCGCCGCCCTCCTCCCGGCGCTCCCGCCGGTCGGGGAGAGCGGGGCTGCGGCTGGGCTCGCCACCCTCTTCCCGGCGCTCCGGCCGGACAGGGAGAGCGGGGTGGCGGCCGGGCTCGGTGCCCTCCCCTGCTGTGCTCCCCGGCGGGGCGGCGGGAGGCTTTTTTGCCAGAGCCGGCCCTGAACTGAATATATTCTTTCAAGAGCTGACCATGAAAACAAACTGTGCTGTATTAAGTGTATTCTGTACACTGTAAAACCACTAAGATTTGCAGCAAAATTATTTTTAGTTTCCAGAACATGAAAATACTTCAACTGAAAACATTAGTGTGTGGGGCATTTAATGGCAATGCTAAAGATCTCACAAGTAACTAATTTAATTAGTAGTAGCATTTATCATTGTTATTGTCATAGTGCCTAGGAACCCCAATTATAGACCAGGACCCCACTGCACTAGGCACTGTACAAACACAGAACCAAAATGTATCTGAGTATCAACCACAGGTCATTTTGGGTATAAAACATTTTGGGTATAAAATTAAATAGCTGTAATGTCAAATGTCTGTTAGTGAAATGACAATATTAGAAAAAAAATTCTTACTTTGTTACTCCCTGAAATTATAAGACAAATACTTTAGTTGTTCCATTTTAACTTTTGTAATTACACCTCTACCCCGATATAATGCGACCCGGTATAACATGAATTCGTATATAACGTGGTAAAGCAGCGCTCCGGGGGGGGGGGGGGACGCTGCATGCTCCGGCGGATCAAAGCAAGTCTGATATAACGCAGTTTCACCTATAACGTGGTAAGATTTTTTAGCTCCCAAGGACAGCGTTATATCAGTGTATTGTATTTCTTTCAATACAAGACTAATAAATTAAGAGTCTGGATCCTTCTTCCTTTTGTAATTAAGTAATTGCCCTATAGCTGTAGATTGTACTTTCTATTTACCTGAAAATATATGACCACAGCAAACACAAATACTGTAGCAATCAGATTCATGAGATTGGGCAAGTTCTGTCGGTAGAAAGCCTCGCGCAAAGCACGGACTTTGTCAGTTCGTGTAGCCAGAAGATGGAATAATGCAATCACCGCACCCTCAAACTCCGTTCCTATATAAAGCAAAACAGAGTAAACCACTCCATCTTTTTTTTTAATTTTAAAGTAAAAATTAGTGTGAATTTCTAATTAACAAGGTCTGGTATTAATTTATATTTGAAAAAGTGCTGTATACGTGTTATGAGATATGTTGTACTGTAGTCCTATTAGAACATGTATGTCATAATGTAAGATTCCCTTTCCAGCCTGCAGAATACCAGGACATTCAGGACGCTGCCTTTGTGATAAAACCTATAGTTCTCAACCATGTGACAAAAACAATTCCCCCTTTTTTTAAATGGAGGGGGGAGAAGTGGGGGAAGAAGAGAAAAGGAGTGGTAGAAAGGAGCAGCAAGCAAGCACAGTAAATAAAAATGCCAGAAACTGGAGAGGCAATCAATCAAGGTAAAATTTGGTTTAGGATTTGGAGTTTACACATAAGCTATCTGATAACCTCTCAGCATAGATAGAAGCAGCATTTCTCTTTGGCCAAGGCTGGTCTCACAGTGCAGCCATGGACACTGAGGGCATGATACAGAACTGAAGGTGGGATTCCCATTCTCCAAAATGTCAAACATACTTCAGAGTGTAATGGGGAGACACTAAATACAGGAATGTCTTATTCACACACTGTAATTGTACCACAAACATCTCCTTTGAAAATACTAAATCCACTTCCTTTTCTATGTCTGTGCACCACAGTGTGCTAAAAATAAGACACAGGATTCAGACTAGGAAATCCAGATTCCTGAGGTCAAGGAAGGATTAGGGTTATGAGAAAAAATGTCTCCACTGCAAACACTAGAATTTAAAGCGGCAGAGGCAAACTTTTGGATTGTTATTCTTGATAAAGTTACTCTTATGGATCTGGCAGTGTTTAGTCTCCATTTTTGGACAATGACTGTTAAAAGCTAATCAGCACTTCACTAAACCAACAGTTCTATAGTTAACTGCTACTCTGTAGTACAATAAAGTTAATTTCCAGCACGTATCAAGTGAAACTTGTGCTGTTATAGTTATCTGTGCAATGTACCTCTGCCAGTGTTAATGGTAGTGGGACTAAAGGCCTTCCAGACAATGGTTTCACAGATGTTGGTAGCAATAAAGAGGGAAATACCAGACCCCAAGCCGTAACCCTTCTGCAGCAGCTCATCTAACAGCAGCACAATCAAACCAGCAACAAACAACTGTGGGGAAAGAAATGCGAGTAAGCAGAAACAAGAATAAATCAGTCAAGAATTTAAGTATTAAAAATATTACTGATTATATTTTCATTATAATGTGGGAGTATTCAATATTAAATGTAGATGTCCTGTTCCCTTGTAACCTCCCAACACTGATTTAAAGTCAGCAGGTCAGGAATTTAAGAGCAGGAGTCTTCTTGCTATATTTACATAACTTTTCAGTATTGACAATAAGAGTCACGTTGTTTAATAAATAATGTTTTCTACACAGAAGTGATGTGTTGGTTTCTTACATTGTGCATGGACTGCTTTGATAAGATTTGCACCCTTTAATCAGAAATGTCCTAAATACAGTGTCCACTGCTTTCAAAGCCGCCTACTCCTGTTTTAATACTAACAGCTTTGACAAATGGGATCAAACATGACCCACTTATCTGGAACATCTTGAGCATATGTAACCACTGGATGTATCTTTGTCCTTCTGGGAAATTTTATGCCTTTCACATATATGCATTACATACATTTAGGATGCGCTGTTTACAATGTTAAGAACACTTAGGAAAAGAGAAGAAAGCCAATGGATTGTTAGGGGAAGTAGGAGAAGGGTCAGGATTTTCAATCCATCTATACTATATCTGAATGTCACAGAAGTGCTTATTCACAGAAGAATTAATTATGTACCTGAATTATGATAAGGAGACAAATTCCAGCACCCATTTCAGCAGGATCTCCATACATCCCAGTCATGACGTACACAATGGCCTGCCCAATGGTTATAATCATCCCAAACACTGAAACAAAAAGAAAGCAACGCTCATTTATAGACAGCTGCTGAGTTAGTATACTACGGATGCCTTGTATCTAGCATTTTAGTTATACACGTTGGTTTGCCAAGAATAGAAATGTTTAGTAATTTTAATCAGAATAATGCTCACATTTCTGGGCTCCATTGAAAAGAGCTCTGTCTTTTGGTGTATCACCAACTTCAATGATCTTGGCACCAGCTAACAGCTGCATGATCAAACCAGATGTCACAATGGGCGAGATACCCAACTCCATCAAAGTCCCTGAAGAGGAAGAAAAATTATTAAATCACATCCCAAAACCCCCACACCTCTAAGGATCAGGCCTTTAGAAAGGTTCTGACCTGCAAATAAAAAAAAAAAAAACTATTCTTCATATCCTTTCAGTCAAACACTTTCCAGTCTAGTGATGTTTCAAGCTGCTGTCAAAGAAAAAGATCACTATCTCCTCCAAAACAAAGACTGCTGTGTCACAATCTGAGGTTTTGAAGGCAATGTGGGAGAAATATGTGTATTCAAACATTTTTGTGAAACAACACTACAATCCAAAGCTGATGTGTACAGAGGCTGAACAGGATATGTAGTTAGTTCTCCAGTATTTCACAATACTGAACTCTTCACTGGGGAAAGTCTTCCCCTGGATTCTCCTCTCATGTCAGCCCTATCACTCAACTGCTTGGTCCATTTTGTGGACCATCAGAAAGGTCTCAGAAGGCCACTGTGGTTTATCACTCACCAATCAGAGAATCACTGAATTTCCAGCTGAAGGTGCAGGAGGCATTTAGGAAGGCAGAATGTAATTACCCACATTAGAATTTGATGAGGACAGCAGGATTAAATTAAAAAGAACAGGCGTACTTATGGCACCTTAGAGACGAACAAATTTATTAGAGCATAAGCTTTCGAAGAAGTGGGCTGTAGTCCACGAAAGCTTATGCTCTAATAAATTTGTTAGTCTCTAAGGTGCCACAAGTACTCCTGTTCTTTTTGCGGATACAGACTAACATGGCTGCTACTCTGAAACCAGGATTAAATTGACACTTTTAAGAAACAAGTCATGGGGCTATTAAAATGTTCTGATTTTTGTATCATCTACTAGCACCATGCTCCTAGCTCTCTGCTACGCTATTGGTTCAGTATCAGCTCTGAGGGTAAGATGCTACCTATTGAAATAATACCTCCTGAGATATAGATATCTGCAGTGTAGCCTGTAACAGTTCAGGGCAACTGCTCCTGAAACTACTTTTAGCCTTCCAGCTGTGAGTTCTCCTGGGTAGAGAACCATGTCTCTCCCCATCCTGACCAGGGTTTTTCCAGACTGCACAGTTCCCTGCTTACAATGTGAGTTACTCAGCAAGTCAGACTGCATGAGCTGGCCTGCTTTGCTTTCTCCTCCGAGGCTATACACAGCACAATTGCACACAGTTAGAAGTTACCACACAACCCTTTCTAAGTGAGCACATTTATAATTAAGGCGAAAGCATTACAGAGAAAACATTAAAAACAATAAAAGGACCTAAACACATGCTAATAAGCTTACTAGAGATCACCCCAACTCCATCAAGGGGTCTGGCAGGTGATCAGTCCTTTAAACCCCACCACAGGGTTTTTCTGGAGTTACAAGTTCATAACAGCTGTTAGCTCATTCATCCTTTCCTTTATACAGTTTGGGCCTTTGATATCGTCCTCATGTCTGCCGATCACCTGTTACAAAGGGTGATCCTCTCCTCAGGGTGAAGCTTCAAAAGGATGAGTTCTTACATAACCAGCAGGGGTACATACACCTCCCCCCAGAGATTTCCTGGGAAATCTCTTTTAACTTCGTTGTCCCAAAAATTCATTCTTCTCTGGCACATTGTGTAAAATAATCCTTTGAAACTCATAACACTTCCCAGGGTTTACTGCATTTATAATACAGTGGATTCCAAAGCTATTAAAACATAATTCAATAAGATCTCCCAAAGATATTGCATATTTGGTCCTAAGCCAGCATTATAAATGTTGGCTTTTTGAAGGTTTATCCATCCTTCAGTGAATCATAGGAAAGTCTCTCCATTCCGAGCATGTTGCAAGTTTAACTGTTTGGTCCAAATGCTCAATGTTTCAAAGAACTAAAATTAGTATGCGGCCAGTTCAACATTTTATATTATTTTCATAGTCAGAATCTTACCTATGAGGAAGAACAAAAAAATTGTGTGTGTGTGTGTGTGTGTGTAAAGTGATTAAAAGGAGATAATATTCTGAAAAAAATATATATGCAAGCCAAATATTTACACTGCAGAGGCATTAGTTCAGGCACTGTGCAAATGAGAAACAAAGACAGCCCCAACAAGTTTGATTACCCTTCTTTCACTTGCAATGAATTAATATACTGTCACATAAAACTATTAGCAAAGTTAATTTAAAAAATAATAAGGGACCTAAACTGCTGCAGACTGAGAACAGATACAGATCAACTAAAACATAACAAGAATTAGCAATAGAGGCAGCATGATCTGATAGTCTGAGAGAAGGACTAAGAGCTAGGAGTTCTAATCCCAGTTCTGTCACAGGTGCACTGTGATCCTGAGCAAGGCTCTTAACTTCTCTATCTTCAGTTTCCAGACCTGTGAAATTATTTGCTCATCTACTCTGTAGTTGTGCTGTGTGGCTTAATTCACTAGGATTTATAAATCATCTTCTACTCCAAGCATCTCAAAGTGTAAACTAGTATTATCAGTAAGTGGGAATCATTAATGTGCCCCATGTATTCATATGGCAGGTTACCTGTCTTACATATTTGAGATGCTCTACTTTTGGAAAGAGTATCAAGCTGAATTTCATTTGCTCCTCAGATGATGCCAAATTCCTATGCTATTTTCAAAATAGAAGATACTTGTATTGGCTTTTGAAAAATGTTATGAATTTAGAGTATTACATCTGTCCTAAACACTCACAAAGTACTTAACTCTGACTCCTGGACTCCATGAAATCAAATATTTGAAAATCAATCTATCAATTGTCAATTATACCTGTTTAAATTAATGCAATACCAGAGAGAAAAAGAGTGAAGAGAGATGACTAATCTACTAACCTCTGTTTGATGCAAGAATGACTCTCATCCAATAGAAAGGATCTGCAGAGTCTGATGACATGATTCCGAACAAAGGGATCTGTAAAGATATGTGTACTATTAAATGTCTAGACTTCTCTGTAAAGCTAGACTGCACAAAGTACAAACAAATACATACTAGAAAGAGTAATTGTGAACTGGTTTCAGGTTACAGAGACATTGCTTAGAATAATTTATTCCAATATTCTTCATGTTTCAGACATTAAAACTAGAGCATAAAGTTTATATGGCAAGCAATATAATCCTCTGAAGAAAACCCAAAGCACAATATGAGAGACATATTTAATAACCTGTACAATTTTAATATGCAGGTCTTCATGTGTTACGAAGACAATAAAATAGTAAATTCTATTGGTTTTGTATTTCACTGACATTTTTGCATCAGAGTGTTTGAGCTTTGGATGAATATGTATAAAAAAAAGTTTTCAGATTTGAAAATGAAACCAGAAAGCATTCAGTTGCTAACTTAACTTTACCTTTGGGTCCTAATATTGCATTTCTTTGCGGTTAAGAGATATAGCAGAAAACGTAATACAAATATTTTTGCAAATGATTAATTCCCCAACCACAGAAATTAAATATTTAAAATCTTTTAACTATGAAAATTACCATGAACGGAAACAATCACAAATTTAAGTCAATAAAAGCCTGCATGAAAATTAACTTCATCTTTCGGGTTTTGATACCATATATCAAACAGACCAGAAGAAAAGAAGAACGGCCATACTGGGTCAGACCAAAGATCCATCTAGCCCAGTATCTTGTCTTTCAACAGTGGCCAATGCCAGGTACCCCAGAGGGAATCAACAGACCAGGTAATCATCAAGTGATCCATTCCTTGTCGCCCATTCCCAGCTTCTGGCAAACAGAGGCTAGGGACACCATCCCTGCCCATCCTGGCTAATAGCCATTGATGAACCTATCCTCCATGAATTTATCTAGTTCTCTTTTGAATCCTGTTATAGACTTGGCCTTCACAACATCCTCTGGCAAGGAGATCCACAGGTTGACTGTGTGTTGTGCGAAAAAATACTTCATTTTGTTTGTTTTAAACCCACTGCCTATTAATTTCATTTAGTGACTCCTAGTTCTTGTGTTATGAGTAAATAACACTTCCTTATTTACTTTCTCCACACCAGTCATGATTTTATAGACCTCAATCATATCCCCCCCTTAGTCGTCTCTTTCCCAAGCTGAAGAGTCCTAGTCTTATAAATCTCTCCTCATATGGTAGCCATTCCATACCCCTAATCATTTTTGTTGCCCTTTTCTGAACCTTTTCCAGTTCAAATATACCTTTTTTGAGATGAGGCAACCACATCTGCAAGCAGTATTCAAGATGTGGGTGTACCATGCAATTATATAGAGGCAATATGATATTTTCTGTCTTATTATCTATTCCTTTCTTAATGATTTCCAACATTTTCACTTTTTTTGACTGCCGCTGCACATTGAGTGAATGTTTTCAGAGAACTATCCACAATGTCTCCAAGATCTCTTTCTTGATAGGTAACAGCTAATTTAGACCCCAACATTTTATATGTATAACTTGGATTATGTTTTCCAATGTGAATTTCATCTGCCATTTTGTTGCCCAGTCAACCTGTTTTGAGAGAAGGCATACTCTCTTGCTGCTGTTTTAACAGTGCAGGCCAGGAACTCTTGACGTAGGTTAGAATTTTGTTCTACGGTTTTTTATTGGTTCAGATTATCTTATTCTAAAAGCATCATGAACAATGATTACTCCTTTTTAACTCCACTGACTTTCCAGACTGTACAGGGAGCTCCGTTGGTTTATACACCTTCACCATGTACTGTTACTTGTTCTCTCTACAGTCTTGATACCATATGAATGCAGGATTTCTGCATATATCATTTGGTCCCTGCAGATAGTAGGAAACAGTTTTAAGTTTTGACTACAGTAGAACCTCAGAGTTATGGATACCTCGAGAATGGAGGTGTGACG